CATTGGTCTTAGTCTGTGTTAAACATGTAGGTGCATCATTTTAATGTGATTCTGTGGATGCAGTTATTTTGTTTTTAATACATTTTAATATGTTAAACTGACAGAATAGTGACATTAATTGCTGCTGTGTTTAAGTGTCCCTTTGTAGAAAAACTGAAATCTTCACAGTGAAAAGAAATTCTCAGCAAGACAGAAAACAATTAGTTTATGCTGTGTGATAAAATAAGAATTTGTGGGGATTTTTTGATATTAAACATAAGCTTACAAAATTAAGACACATTACCAACTACGGGACTTTGGTATTCAGAGCGTAATGTGTTGTCTTTGCTCAAACAGTGTGCACAAAATAATTGAGTTTGAATTGGTTATGCCTGGGGCTAAGTGCTAAAACAAATCTTTAAATGAAATTTATTACAAGCGGGGTTACCGTGCCCAGGTGTTATTGAATTCATTTCTCATTCTGACCTGATTTAGAACGATAACGATAATAAGTGAGACTGGCAGAAAAGATGACAGTGACATTGCACATCATGGATTCCCTTCAAACAAATTAAAATGCAGTCAGTCTCAATGGCTTAATTGATCCGTGCAGATGGTGTCTTTTCTTCCAATTGTTTTCCCCAGCAGGGTACATTATCATTTTCTTAAATAAATCCATCTGTGCTAAAGGAGTAAGTCTCACAAAAGCTGAGAATTCATACGATGATTATACGTATTTCACGGTGAAAAATGAAGAACAGCATTAACGAAAAGCTTGTTGTCCATCCTCAGATTCATTTGTATTCAGGCAAGGACAGTTCGGGGTGACATTGCTGTTTGAGGCAGTTCACTGCCTTTCACTGTAAGTGCAAGGTTGATGAGAACCCCCACCACCACCACATACCTTCATACCAGTAAAATTAATGAGGAAAATGAAGCTAATGAGATAACAAGCACAAGATGGAGAAACAGGCTGATCTGACGCATCCTCTCGGTTATTTGGCAATATCTGGAGGCGTCACCGGCCTCAGACTCTCATTTTCTTCCTGTCATATTCAATCAGCGATTCCTGCCTAAAATAAAAGCAAGTGTCTGGCATGACCATGGCCAGCAGAACATTGGCGTGGCTGGCCGCCTCACTACTTTTCTCCTCTCACCAGTGGGGGGTTGATTTGAATATATAAGGTTTCTTGACTACTAAACCATTTTGTATGGCTATTTTTATCTGAGGACATACTCTGTACTGTACATTGATGTAAATGTGGTTTATAAAGGGCATGTTTTAGTGGGATGAATGTGAGGTTTAGATAATTTACAAGTAAAAGTAATGAGGTCACTGATATTGACCATTTCTCTTAAAATACCTAGGCTCAATGTGTTCTCAATGTGTGACAATTCTCACCTGAAATCAAACTGGTTATGGGCAAATCTGTCTACCTGGATAATTTATAAGGAGCCGTGTTAGATAGTAGGTCAACAGTGAATTTAAATAATAGTCTGTTTGATTGTAGAAATTAATGCACCTGGTGCTGAGGTCTGTTACTACAATGTGCTTTCTAAGATTACAAATGAGCACGAGGCTGAAAGTGGATTTAATAGAATTAAATCCTGCAACATTTAAGTGCTGTTAGCCATTTGTTTTGTTAAAATGCTTGACTGCAGCATGGCTGTGTGGGATATCAAGCTACCCAGAAACCTGGCCCCAACCTGCTTTTTGAGAAAATTTACCATAACCCTTACCCGATTGTGGGAAATTAGGGAAATACACTATGTCAAATTGGACAAAAGCAAAAGAGAATGTCTGCTCCTGGTGTTCTTAATACAGCTTACTTGGCTCATTCATGTGCACTCAAAATGTAATTGTAATATTTCAGCCAACCTGAAATGCAGTGCTCATTTTTGACGTGGTTTTCAACTTTCCAAGACTGAATTACCTGCTGATTGTGTAGCGTTAGCCAATTAGTATTATAGTGGGTTAAATATAAATATTAAAAACGCAAAATTGCAAATTGACTATGCTTTAATAATTTTAAAGCCTGTAAGAATTTCTATTGGGCAGCACGGTGGCACAACTGGTAGAGCTGCTGCCTCTCAGCGAGCAGGTCCTTTGTTCAAACCCCGGTCCAGGGGCCTTTCTGGGTGGAGTTTGCATGTTCTCTCCATGCATGCGTGGGTTTTCTCCGGGTGCTCCGGTTTCCTCCCACAGACCAAAAACATGCATGTTAGGCTGATTGGTAACTCTAAATTGTCCCTAGGTGTGAGTGAGAGAGTGAATGGTTGTTTGTCTCGTTTGTCTCTATGTGGCCCTGTGATGGTCTTGCGACCCATCCAGGTTGTACCCTGCCCCTCACACAGTGATTGCTGGACATGGGCACCGGCGACCCCCGTGACCCGAAATGGAATAAGCGGGTAAAGATAATGGATGGATGGATGAAGAATTTCTATTAGTATATTTTATTCTTTCTGAGGTTGTAAGATTCCATTTATACGTAGATTTTTCACACAAAGGACAATACATTTATTAAATAACGTAAATAAGATATCTGACTTCATACAACAAAAAGCCATAGTTTAGATTTTTTGAAGTGGGCTTCTATAAAAATGTTATGACTATAATTATCTCACCTGTTGGTCTTTGAACAACCACAGTTTAGAGAAATGGTTTAACTGACTGGATTCATGAGCTAACAGGTCATAGTGGGGCCAAGACCAAAGTGGATTGCTACCATCTTAAAACCATTTAAATCTCAAAAACATTATAGCAGTTCATACAAAAGCTATTTTAAAAACCTTGACATGATCATCAATTTGGTTTTACACTGTTGTTTTGTAGAACTATGTCATTATTTGCAAATGCTATCAGTGGCAGAAGTAGCTAGTTGTAGCACTTCTAGTGCCTCTAGAGCACATACTGTATGTTAAACTCAAGGCCCGGGGGCCAAATGTGGCCCTCGTTGACATCTTATCTGGCCCCCAAGATGATATGTTAAACGTAAAATACCTTTTTCACTTGAATTGTTTCAGTAATCTTTGATTATGATGTCAAAAGTGCAACAGAGAAGGTCAAATGAGACCAATCAAACTCTTGTTGAGGAACATGCAACCAAGAAAAGATGTGTATGAAACTTGAGTTAATGTAGAAACTGGCTCTTAGTTTACAAAAAAAGATTTTAATTTTGGCCCCCCTTTGTAAGTGAGTTTGACACCCCTGTTCTAGAGCCATTCCAGCAGGAATATCATGTTTCTACCAAAATAACTATAATGCCAAACTGACAGCAATATAAAGATTTATAAATCAGCAAATGCATGAACAGCTATGGTGATCTTGTGATAGGAGTTCTTTTAAGTTGGCAACTATTCACTTAGGTCATGGCCGTGCTTGGATTATTCATTAGCTTATTGTTCTGGTGAGAATTAAACTCTTTCTCCACACTGAGTTTGTTCATAAAGCTTTCAGTGGCACGTAGAGTTACAGAACACCATTTCACTGAACAGTTTCTTTAATCTTTCATTACTTGTTCAATACTTTTGCTTGGAGGAATTTTAACCCCAACCTCTGGAACGTTTGTGTGTTTCTTCACATGAAATGTTTACTTCAATTCCTTTTTTTAAAGAAACAGTTATTATAATTATTGTACAATTTTTGGGGTAAAATATACTCTGTGTTGTTTTGCTGCCTAGCTACCTTTCTTTTAGTTCTAATTAACTTATGGATGTCCTGACATGGGGCATCAGTCCATTTTTAAATAATTTATTGGGATATTTCAGAATGTATAGTTCCATCAGTTAGGACAAAACAAGAACAAACAATTCAGTTTATTTATATAGAGCCAAGTCACAACAAAAGTCATCTCAGGGCACTGAACAGAAACATTCATATACATAAACAGTAAGATAACAACATTATTTATGTGAGGAGCAGACTGCTTTGTGTTTAACTCCATCACAGACTCTCAGCTTGAGCAAATACGAAGGCGACAGTGGAAAGAAAAACCTCCCTCATAAGGAACAGACCTTTAACAGAACCAGGCTCAGGACAAGTGGCCATCTGCGTCGACCGGCTGGGTTTGAGAGGAATAGATACACAATGGCAGGTCAAAAATCACATGTTAAGACAGAAATAATATCAAATGAAAACTATTCAATTTTAACAAATCATTTAAGGAAATGAGGTCAGTTTGTCCTCTACTAGTCTAAGCCTATAGCAGCATAACAAGCCAACCCTAACTATAGGATTTATCAAAAGGAAAGTCTTAAGTCCAGTCTTAAAACTGGACAATGTGTCCTTTCTACAGACATAAACTGGAACTTGGCTCTACAAGAGAGGAGCCTGATAACTGAAAGATCTTCCTCCCATTCTGCTTTTGGAAATGCTAGGATCCACAAGTAAACCTGCAGTTTGACAGTGAAGTGCTCTGTTAGGAAAATATGGAACAATAAGATCTGTAATATAAGATGGAGCTAGGTTGTTGAGAGCTTTGTATGTTAGAAGTAAGAGTTTGAATTCAATTCTGAATTTGACAGGGAGGCAATGGTACCATGATACTATGTGTTTATTTATGGGATTAGCCTATCATGCTGAGAAGTTGTTTTTTTTCCTCAACACAGCGTTTTTCATTAAAACCTAGAATGTTAAAATGATTTTGAGTTACTCAGAAACATTATTCAGTAGCTAGTAGCTTTTGTTCACAGTGATCTTCAGCAGGGTAAAAAATGGCAGCAGGCGCTCTTTTATTTCATATTTACCACTTTATTCCTGCAACATCTCCATGCAGACCAAGCATTTTTTGTGTCATCCTCTTAACGTTTAACCTAATCCAATGTGCGAGAAGCCTTAAGTTAGAAGTTACATAGACTATTCCTTGTACTTGAAGTGAAGTAATATAGACAATTCCTGACCACATTCAACAGATCGTGGTTTTGTAAACACTTCCTCTCTTGGTTTCTTTGTGGACGCCTGTTCGATGTTTTTCTCTATGTTTCTATCAACACCAATTGTCTAATTCTTTTCTCATTTTCAGATTGATCCTAAGGTTGCCTTTCCCCGTCGCTCCCAGCCTAAGGTAAGAATAAATTGGTCACTAACAAAGCTCTTAGAAAACAATTATGTTTCAGGTTGTTAGTTGAGCTTATTTTGCGAGCTCACACAGCTTTTACAAACAAATGCAAGCATTTAATTTGGGTCTGATTTCCTCACATTGACCATGTTGTTGTATCTAACCAGTTAAAGATGGAAGTGCTTGACTTGGAGGGAATTTTCAGAAATATTACAGGAGTTTCTGTAGTAATTTACTATTTTTTGTGTTGTTTTTGTGCTTCAGTTGTTATTTTTTTATTTGTCATAGTGGTTTTCAGTCGCAAAATTTGTAAAAGCAACTGCATTGATTGTTTCTTAATGGTATTTTATCAGTGGGTTTAATTAAATCGTAGCCTGTTTAATGCATTATCTGTGGTAAAAGCATCTTGTTTTGGCATCTCTTCCACATTTTCATTTGTGCATTTGCTGACAATGTTTGCGGTTGGTTGAAACGCATATTTGAGGATGAAAAGAACAATGTCTTTGATGGTACACATTATTGTATAAAGGCAAGTTTTATTTTTAAGTGATTAGGCAGATATTTGCCAGACTGATTTTTTTAACGAAATGAATGGTGACCTCCAGCTGACAGTGATAAATTACACTTACTGGCTGAATTATAAGTCCGAGTTCTTTTGTTGCGTTTGTCGTTGAATGAGCCTGAATGACATGAGTGATTCAGAAATATCTTTATTGTGTTGCATGCACGCAGAAATTGTCACAATTAGTCCTGAAACAATGGTGAATTAAGAAATAAGCCATATACCAATCATGCAGGAACTGTCGCACAAGCTCTTCATGATGCGTATTATCTTTTCTTTTCTTGATTGCTGGTCTTAAGCGCTTCTATTGACAATTAAATATTCAGCATGTGCAGATGGTGCGGCGGAGTAGTCAAAGGCTTTGTTGATGTGCCCCCAACACACACACACACACACACTATCCTCCAGCTATTAATGTGCAAGCTATAGCGCAGTGCACTGTAGCGCTATTCAGCATCGCTATCAGGGCTTTTTCTACCTAAACCAGGTGGAAATCGATAATAGATTTTCTCCTTTCCCTTGGATCACAGAGAGAGGCATTGTTAAAGACTTGTTCAGGTTTCAAATAAGGAATTGGCAGCACAGGCTTTCAGAAACCAGAGCACTCTGTGACTTAAGGATATCGGCGTATGGTTGAGAAACTACTAGTGTTTTTCCACTTTCTCTTACATGGCAAGTCGATCACCTTAATTCTTTCTCTTCTGAGCAGCGCTCATAAAAGTTGAAGGTGCAATATAACATCTCGGATGTTTGATGATGCCTGAAGTTATTACGCGAACAAGTGAGTCAGCTTGCTTTTCTGGTTATTGCTTACCATTTTTTCAGCTGTTTTATCCTTCCTTTTTAGAATAACTCAGGAAAAAAAAAAGTTTTTTAAATTTTTTTATTAGTCTTAAGTACTTTTCATATCTGAGCAAAAATAACGACAGCAAAACAAAACCATGTGACATGACAACAGACTATAGGTCAAGCTTGTTAGAAAAGAAAAACGGTTTCATTGAATGTGGATTACAAAGGTTCATAAAGCAATGGGCTTAAACCAGATATATGAACTTTTCATGGGTTTGTACTTTGTTCAGTTAATTCAGGACTTTTAAAAGAAGCCCCGTTCTGATGTTCCTATTTCTAAAGCCCTCTCTCTTCAGCTTGTGCTTTTCTTTTGTCCCTTTTTTGCCTCAGTTGTCTGCCTACTTGGCTGCTTATGCAGTCGTTGAATAGGTCGCCTTTTTGTTTAAGGAAGCACGGCTTGGCAGGTGCCATGGTGGCACGGGCTTCATGGAGCAAATCGAGACGAGGCCAACCAGCGTTAATTTTTCTCACAAGTAACAATGGCTTCGCTCGTAACCCTGCCAGTGACCTCTCACCGCTCACTGCTGCAATATGGTAAAACTATACAGTATGAACATCACGTAGAGTAATGCTGAAAACAGGCAGGAGGTGAAGGTGAACAAGGAGGACGTTTCACTGCAAACAAGTATGGGTGTTTGCTCTTGGATGACAGGATCAGAGAAAAAAGGAAAACAACGTGTATCAGCGGACGTGAACAGATCTACTGTCAGGCATCAAAAACAGTCATAAAGATGTTTGATAACTGTTGTTAGGTTAAATTAATACGTGCGCATCCCCTGAGTTCATTTACATTTGATGTAATTTCATTGATTTCTTCCATCATTCTATATTTGATACAGAACATTCTTTTGCAATGCAGAGGTCACAAAACATCATTTTCTTAATATTTCTTAACCTGCATTTGAAGATCATGTATATGTATGATTCAAGTTTTTTTGTGTGCTTTTGTGGCCATCTTCACGATAATATTGGTAAAGGGCACAAAGAGGAGATAACCTCAGCTCCCGTCAATCAAAGATTATAGGCTGAGGAAATGCAGACCGTCACACACATTACAAATGAATAATGTCCTCTGACTACATCTTATCTTAAAACCTAAAAGGAACATTTTGTGTTATAAATAGAGGTTGTGCCTTACAAGTCATGTCAAAGGTATCAATATGGAATGGCCAACAAATATTCAGGGATTAGTTTGCATCTGAGGATGATTGACAGGTGAGAATGAAAGGATTAAACAATCATGATGTGATGCAAAGTGCTTTATGCACATTCATTTATGCCTCGTCTCCTCCTAACCTGTCTGGGGATAGCCAGGCCTTTGTTAGATCGGCAGCTGAAGTCGCTTTAGAATGCCAGGATTTCTCTGTAAAGGTTTCAAGATTTTCACATTTAGTTTCACACCAAGAGGTTCTCCGTGTTTATTGGATGCCAGTCCTCGCAGCGAACGCATTGTTACATTTTTATCAAAGATTAATGTCGAGAAATGGAGGCAGACGAGGATAGGGTAAACAAAATTATTCAACAGCACTTTTTTTTTCTTCTTTCCATAGAATCGTTCAAAGTTTTATCCTGAGTTCACACCTGGAAATTGCTTAGCAGATGTGATAAGTGCCTGACAAGTGTAAAAACAGAGGGTTCACTTTCTTATGAGATGCAACACGCTGCTTGGATTAATAGCTGTGAAGTAATTGTAAGGTGTGATTGATCAGTCGCTTTTTCAAATGAATCTGACTGATCCCGATGTGCATCATCCAATTATTCAAGTAGATGCGTGAAACCAAACAAAAGGCTCTATCATGATTAAATACTTTAGATTGTCCGTGCGATGTAGGCCTGAGCTAATGTGTTAATATTCTGGTGAGATTCAAAGGTTTTCTGTAGGTTCTGATGAAGTCTAACAGTTGTGTTTTCAGAAACCTAATTTTTCACAACCTGATTTCTGGCTTGTTGTAAAACTGGCACTTCCATTAAAACATCTCTCTCACACACACAAAACAACCACCCACCTTTTTAGGGGTCCAAGCCCACGGAGGCAAGGCAGCAGCATTTCCATGCTTTCGGCAGCGCATGGAACTCTACTGAAACTGTAGGTTTAAAAAAATATATATATATATTTTTATGTATTTTTCATTTGTAAATAAAAGTCATACTGCAGCCTAATCTGCTTAGGGGTTTTGGATGATATTTACATTGCGGTAACTAGGGTTTTGTTTGAGGCCCAGAAAAATGTTCAGAAATGTTCCCTTATAGGGGGCACTATCATTGAGGTCTTTGTATTTATTCCTGTTGCTTCCAAACTGCAAGTGGCACAATTACAAGCTTTATATCTACGTGTTCCCCATACTTACTGAATCAGATGGCCATGCCTATTTGTCCCCTAAACTTTGCTTGCTATATTGTTGGCTGCATTGTGAAATTAGCTAAACCTATTTTGACTCTTTTTTTTTTTTTAAAGGTATAAAGTTTAGTGTTCTCCTTGAATATCACCATGTTAAATCTAGATCAGGGGTCTGCAACCTGTGGCACTGGAGCCACATGCGGCTCTTTGGTCCCTCTGCAGTGGTTCTTTCAAACTTTGACCAAAACTGACATGAAACTGAATTTTATTGGTTGTAACAACAACTAAAAAGGCTAGTTTTAGCAGTTTCCCTGTAATTTATTTTGCAAATATATGAATACTAGAAACATTACAAGGAGTAAAACATACTCACTTTCACTTTATGCTTTATTTCTTCAAAAGTAGGATACATCATTTTCTACAATAAAAAAAATCACGTAAGAATGCATTGTTTTAGCTTTTAGAAACGGGGCAAAAACTATATTATTTTTTCCTTCTTTAAAATAATCTTGTTTTTTATTTGTCTTAGAGTGTAAAAATATCAATAAATGTTAAAAATCATTAGATATTTTTAGTTTTATAAAATCACCCCTACTGTCCAGAAAAGCGTCCTCCAACAAACTTAAAGTGGTCCGTGGGCCACCAGTTGAGAATCCCAGTTGTAGCAGGTATTGTGGCTCCGGACAAGTTTAATTTAGTGAACAAAGGTTGCAGAATGGCTCTTTTGATCGTAAAGGTTGCTGACCCCTGATCTAGATACCATGTTGACTATAGGTTGGTAAGAATAAACAGCAGGGCCCTTCTTCAGAGCTGTCTTAAAAAGCCTTAAAGTTTTCTTTTGGATCTGTAAAATTATTTGCATATTTAGATTTTTTTTATGTTCATGCTACACAAGCATATCACTTCTATTTTTTATTTCAAAAATCGTCTACACCAGGGGGTTCTAAAAATGCAACAACCATGTCAGTGTTGCACCCCACCCTCTCAACAGAACCAAGAGCCCTGCCTACACCCCGTACCCCGTACCCCCTACCCCCTACCCCCACCCCCACGTTGATAACTGCCAGCACTGACGTAGCGTTAAGCTAGCTGCGTGCAATACAGATAAAAGCTACAGACATAGCGCTCCTCTTCTTTCACGCATCCTCTACGTTGACAAATGCCAGGACTGATGTAGCGCTATGTTAGTGGCATGCAATACAGATGTGTTAGCTAAAAAGCTACCAGACATAGCACTCCTCCTCTCACGCATATCTC